TCGAACAAGTCAGATATTATCAGCAGTGGGTATTTGTTGCGTATCGTCACCTTGTTTAAGACTCTATAATCTATGCACAGATGCAACGTCTCATCCTTCTTTTTCTGAAATAGTACGGGGGCTCCGTAAGGTGCCTTTTCCGGGCGGATGAATCCTACCGTCAACAACTCATCTAGTTGTTTCCTCAATTTGGCTAGCTCAGGGGGAGCCATCCGGTATGCGTTCTTCGCTAGGGGTTTAACCCCGAGAAGGAGTTCAATTTCATGATCAATGGCTCGACGGGGTGGTAATGTTTGTGCACTACAACAAATATTGGATTAGATAGCTTCCGAAAAATGCTATCATAGACCTTTTATAGCATTTTTCGTACGTCGTGACAGCCCATGTTATTAAAAGTCTAGAACTTTTTATAGCGTTTTTGTATAGCTATAATAAATGTTATAATATAGTACCAAATATAGCTTATATGCAATGCTATGAAAACATTTTATAGCATTTTTGTTAAAGTTATAAATATGTAAACATAACTAAAATATTATGCTATCGTTCATTTTTAATAAGCTATATTTATACTATATTTTATGCTATCATTCATTTTTAATAAGCTATATTTATACTTTTAATCTTATGCTATAACAAAAATATAATTGAAATTTAATAATCTACTTAACACATTACAAAATAAAGTATTCAACTCGATCTATATAAGAATATCAGACTCATTACACTAGCACAATTTTCAAATCAGTTCTTCCCCACCCAATACACAATAAATAGAACAAAAACTCACTATCCTCAATATGTGACATCTTTGATTTTGATCAAATCAAGTACACCAATCCTAAAGGTATTCGAACCGACATCAATGTCTTCTATGTTCCACCCTTTTAGCCATGTCAATTGATAAATTGTTCGTTGTTGCTTGCCAATTAGTGCTTCCTTGCTCCAACAAAAACTTGATCGTTGGGTTGAGGATTAGAGTTGCCTTATCAATTTGGTATCAGAGCCTAAGTTGCATCTTTGTGGCCGACTCTAGGCAATGTCAATTGATAAATTGGTCGTTGTTTCTTACCAATTAGTGCTTTCAAGGAATCCTGCAACATTATCAAAGCATATATATCAGTGATTCGAAAAGAAGTGCAAAATAGTACCAAAAGGTTTGACATAAGGTGATTCGAAGAGAAGTGCAAAATAGCAACAAAATCTAAATATCATATAAAAGTAAAAAAGAGAATAGAACATTATTGTTCATCTTATATATGTAAGCACGTTTCATTTCTTAAAAACAGAGTATAGAAACATTAGTTCAAATACTTGCATTACAGCTTTCAATTAGAATTGAAAGGGGAGGGCATTGTCCACTCAAAGTTTACGAGGAAAGAAAGAGCATTACGCTTTTTGATTCCCTTGGTTGAAAACCATAACTTTGTAATAAAACCCACTCCTTTCAAATAGCCCTTTTTGATGAAGTGTTGTCCTCATATGATAAACCAAACAAAACCATTAAAAAAAAATTGATATTATGACGAGTAAGGCCCACCAAAAAAAACTTATTAACCAAAGAAAATTACCATACAAACTAATGAATTCTCTTGAGAAAAAAGAAAAGTAGTCTTTAAAGGGTCTACAAATATTCTTTCTCCTAGTCACTCCAAGTTAGCAAACAAAAGTCAAAGACCGAAATCAGTCTAACTGGTCTTCAAGTTAGGAACAACTTCTTCTAATTGATCTTCTAATTTATCTAAGATCTCAGTTGAAGAAATCCTCAAAAGAAGAAGAATGTGTTATTGGAAGACCTAAATGCAAAATAACAGTAACAGTAACAACAGGGCCACACAAGTTCTTGTTGTTGTTGTGTGAAAGTGAGTGATCTTGCCGATCATGTATTTAATAAGTTATACACAAAGAAGGAGAAAAGGAGACCTAATATATCAAAGGAAAAAAAAAATCAAGGAGAAAAGGCCACAAAAATTTAGTTATACATAATACAATAGGTATTTTGCTCAAGGAATTTATATGCAGTCCATCAATACGTGTATAAACTTCTTCCTACTACTTGATACTTGCAGAATATGTAACCCGTTAACATAAATCATTCCTACCGGTAGAATGTGCTTGAAATAACCTATGAATTAACAAATTCCTCTAAACTTAATTACTTTGTACTCTTAGGCTTATTTTTTTTGTTTGTAATCTTCATGTGGTTCCTCAATTTGGGCATGTATTGATTGAACCAACATAATGAAAAAAAAAGATAGTTTCTTGTATTATGTTTTTATTCCGTTGATGTAACTCACAACACTACATTCAACCTTTTTAACACAAGACAACAACTACATCTACCTCACAGAACTCACCAATCTACATTCAAAGAAAAATTCTACAGCTAGGAAAATACACACTTAAAAGTAAAGTACATTACTTAATGAAGGACTAAAG